GGTCACACAGACACAAAGTCAAGAAAAAGATATTTGGTTTATTTCTCTTTGATAAATTCAAAAGATATAATGAGTCATATCCCCCATCCCAGGGACATGGAGGTAAGAGGCAAGGGCTTGGTAGACCAGGCTGTGGGAATATTCCAGGACTTTCTCAGTGGGGCACATTCAGGTGTTGGACAGTATAAGGGTTCAGAAAAGTTTACATGGTCAATTTCAAAGCAAAAACCTAATTCTACCTTGTGACAGCTGAGCCATCTCTCCCCTCTCCCCAGTTCCCTCCCTCCTAATCCCGTTGGCCTGGTCCCTGTGTGCCATGGGTTTCTTTGCTCCCCGTATCTCCAAATTGTTCTAGATTGTATTTGCTGTACTTTTGTTTGACACAGCCCCAAGCTGCCTGCTGGTTTATCCATGGTCCTTCCCAGTTTCATCTCCAAGTTTTCAGCTGTTGGTCTTGGCAAGGGTCAGTTCCTTCTTGATTTTTTTTCGGTGTTTTTCCCTGCATGCCCTCTACCTTTTTCAAATCTCCTCTTTCTCCATCTCTGTCAGTGTGAACAACTGAGGCTTCAACTAGGGTGAGGGTGTGAGTCAGCACCCAGGAGGTAAGCTGAATTATTCTCTACTGGCAACTGGGCAGATTGGCCAGGAGGCATGACAGAAAGAATAGATTTATTTTCCTCATTGTTAGAAGCTAAACGTTAGAAGAAGTGACAGTCAGGAAAGAGAAAATTAACAGTGAAAAGAGAGGACAAACACAGACAAGAGATGAAGTAAGATTTATGAATATGTAGACAGAGGAAGTCAAATTTCTCTTTAAAAAGTAAGCAAAGTAAAGAAGCCACTAGTCCGAGCCTTGAAATTTATCTTCAAAGCTAAATTCAGACCAGATGTTCCATACCCGCTCCACTGTCTCTGCTCGGTGCAGGCTTTGATATAACAAATCTCATTTGAAATTTGGACTTTCCCCTGTCCACGGTAGATATGAGTTGTGGATCTCTTCTTGGAGCCCTTTGGAAAGTGCTGAGATCTCTCTATACCTGGATTATACAGAGAAAGGGCTTAAGCTTTGGGACTTGTGGGAAATGAACTGATAGGAGGAGGAGCTAAAGGGAGACTTCAAAGCCATCACTACTCCCCGGTCTCAGCTCCTCAGCAAGTTCACAATGGCAGCGGAATGATGAGCTTAAGAAAGCAAAAACTTAGGGCTAGAAAAATGGATAAAAGTTGCTTGCTCCAAAGCCTGGTGACCTGAGTTTGATCCACTCTGGAACTTACAGGATGAAGGAGAGAACCAACTTTAATTAAGTTATCATCTGACCTGCACATGTGAACCAAGGCATGTGGGCGTTTGTGCACATATATAATAATAATAATAATAATAATAATAATAATAATAATAATAATAATAAT